TTTTTATCAATTGAATTTGTATTATTTCGGGAAGGAATGAAGGTTTTGAAAGTTTATTATTAATACGCACTAATTTTAAATTTTAAAATGGATAATGGATTAGTATATCTGTCAAGTAAGTATAAACTTTTATTAAAATAAACTACATTGAACTTCCCAAAATTGATATGTATAATGGACAGGCTTCATATCAGCATCGAGAGGTTAAAGAGCTTCATTTTTTAGCAGTTTTGAAATTGTTCATCCATCATTTTTACATCATTAATTTAATGTTCAGTGCTCCTAAACATTTTGGTAGCATTTTATGCAAACTATTACATGAACTAGAGTACACAATAAATTGGATCAACCTTTTTTGAAACAGCAATTACCATAAAATGCTACCAAAAATAGCGAAATTAAGTCATAATCAAATTATAGTTGTCGGATGAAACCTAGAGGTTTCGACATTGACGAAAGTCGAAATTAGTTTTGATTTTCAACAAGTAAAATTTTGATACAGTCAACTCTTCCCTCACTGAACCCTTGAAGTTTATTAAGAAAGTGAAAAAAAATTCAGTTTAAAAAGTGAATCTCAATAAAAATTTTTAAGCTCTGTTTAAAAAGAATTCATTGGTGTCCTGTATCTCCAGGTTCGGTTTAAAGAGAGTTGATTTTATAAAAAAAACCTTTAGAAATTATAGAAAAGAGTCGAAATTATACATGTAGTAGTTACAATATTGAGACTGCCCAAAGGTAGCTTCAGCTTCAATATTATGAAAAAAATGGTTTCGTCTGACGACTATAGGTCAAATATGCTTGCATGATAATTTCAAATATCGAAAACTTTAGACTTATAGAAACAGTCATTGTCCATGTAAAAATTTTATTTACCATTAAAGTTTTAACCATTTTATTAATTAAACCGGACAGCGATGATATTTTCAATCACATTAAGTTTTCTGAACCCATTGTTACAATCGGTGATTGTAATAGTACAGAAATCGATGATGAATTTGGAATTTGGAATAACATTTCAGAGTTCATTTCAATGCATTCTACTGTCTTTCCAAAGGCCTTTGCCCGCAGAGTACTCTGAAGCTGAACAATTGTTTTTACTACTTAACGAACGAAAAAATACTATTGATAATATACTGGAATCACAAGTATAAGCTATCGGTCCTGACTTTCAGGAAGATTATTCCACGCCATGCATTGCTTGTTGGGTTGCCAAGCCTCTACACAAGCCGATCATGGAAGAGATTTCAAAATTATTTGATTATAAGTTCGGGATCGTATATCATTTAGTAAATGTTAAAGACAGCAATGATCACTATGAAATTACAAGCGAAACATCAACAAAAGATGTCAGCAATAATGTCTCAAAAATTATCAGAAGTGACAGTGATGGTAATATTGATAATGACGAAGATGATAGCGGCAATGGTGGTGAAGATGATGGTGACAATGGTGGTGACAATGGCAACAACGATAACGGCGATGATGGTGGTGATGATGACGAAAATAATAATGATAGCAATCACTCTGAGGATCCAGACGTAAATCCCATATATGATAGCAATAGAGTTATTAGAGTTTCGTCTCAAGGTAGAATCGAAGCAGAGGATAAGAATCAAAATTTCCATATCGCTATTAATATTTGGGCAAACGTCGAATCTGAACCCCATACAAGCATGAACACTCTGAAATTCAAGATCAATTTAATAAATTGTGGGGTGTCAAAATTTCTAAGTAAACAATGTTCATCCCTTGAAAGCTATATTTGTTACTATCTTGATTCGCTTGAAATTTGTGTCTCACCAATTCCAATTAAACCTAGCAATACATCCAATATTATTATGATAAATGAAAAACATCATCCACGAAGGTTTAACAATACTGTAAACATCTCAAACGGCCATGACACTGGTATTCACATCGAAGTGGAAGGTGGAACAATTTGTGGAGCAACAGCTAGTTATGATAAAAAGAATAGCAGAAACACTATGACAACATTAAATGAATGGGACTTGCAAGATGAATTTGATGAAATTGATGGTGTACGATGGGCGTATAGATTTATAGGCGATGAAATGTATGATGATGGAGAACGTAGAAAAAACATTAACACGGACGATATCT